CATTATATTATTATACCTTTTCAACAACAAATTTGTTTTTATATTAAGGGGGCATCAAATGTTTTGAGGTGTCGAGGTGGGGCATGGAGCAAAAAAGGTTAAGAAACACTGCCCTAGCCTGTCATTTCTATATTAGGGACAACTAACGCAGACAGCCCTCGAGAAGCTTTGCGTGAGATTCAACAAAAACGAAGAACTGATACAGATGGTGTACATAACCGAGACACCAGAACAATTGGATATCTGTATCGGGTAAAACACATTGAGTCCATAAAATTCAGTTTCAGAGTATTACTTGCGTTAACATGTAGTATTCTCTCGTGCGTAAAATTGGATTACAGTTTGGACACATCTTGAATATCAAGAAACCTTAAGATAGTAACCTTTTTTTGCCTCTAGTGGATAGGTTGGTTGTTTTTACATAAGAGGCTAGCACAATTTATTAGCACTTACTAGGTATGTAAAGGTCTATCTTAAATAGCTGGAATTGTATTTATGTAAAGATCTTAAGGATGGTTGTTTGGGTGTTTTCATGGGGTAATATATTGAGGTGTTTGTAAATATTTACTAATTAGTATTATTGTAGTAATGTCAGTACAGTGTGTGGTGTGGGTAGACCCATCGAGAGGGCAGTGAGGACGGGAAATTTTCCCTGGAGCAAAAATTCCCAGCGGCCTCAAATCTGGAGTTACTGACATGTCTATAGCTGGCCAAGAACAGCGAGTATTAGTATAACTTGGGACGTTGCGAACCGAGCATGTCGGCATAAATCCTTTAATTTTGTTTTATAACTATTTCATCTCTCTAATTCTCTTTAACTGCATATAGTAGACTCTGAGACAGGATATGCTAATCGTTTTTAGGATAATTTTTTTTACCTTTGATAGTTTTCTACCAGTGGCGAAACTAGGTCATCGTGGGCCCCAGTGCAAAATACTCGGGTGGGCCCTCCATCATATAGGGCAAAATTAATTACCATGGTGTACATAACAATAATGTTAATAACTATTTCAAAGTCTTAAGGCACAATATATATACTTAGTACTTACCATTTATTAGAAACCAACTTTTCTTGTTTTCATTTCGGCAGTTTTTTATTTCCTATAAATTAATTATTTCTTGCAATTCTGCTTTGAATAGAAATTATTGAAAGTTCATATAATTTTTCTTGCACCATTTTGCTTCTCAAATAAATTTTTTATCAACTTAAGCTTTGAAAAAGATCGTTCGGCACAGGAATTTAACACACATTGCTGTTTTCACAAGTTTGCTAATTTAGAAATGGTTGAAATGTTTTCACAAGGTTGCTAACTTAGAAACCGTTGAAATGTTTTCAAGACCTGATTTGAATCATTGTCGGAAGGAGAGCAACTGAACGGGAAATTCTTTAGAAATATCTTTCTCATATTTGTTAACTGAACTAATGGCTCCAACGTACAGTTATTTATTGGTTATAGCAAGCAAGTTTTGGGGAAAAATAATGCTAAGAGTTTCAGCAACACATTTTAGACTGAATCTATGTTTTAGTTGGCCGATAATAATGTCTAAACAACTGTAAAACACGCTGGTCCTAAAGTTCTTTTACTGTAAAACACGCTGGTCCTAAAGTTCTTTTACTGTAAAACACGCTGGTCCTAAAGTTCTTTTACTGTAAAACACGCTGGTCCTAAAGTTCTTTTACTGTAAAACACGCTGGTCCTAAAGTTCTTTTACTGTAAAACACGCTGGTCCTAAAGTTCTTTTACTGTAAAACACGCTGGTCCTAAAGTTCTTTTACTGTAAAACACGCTGGTCCTAAAGTTCTTTTACTGTAAAACACGCTGTTTTTTTTTTTTTTACTGTAAAACACGCTGGTTTTTTTGTTTTTTTTTACTGTAAAACACGCTGGTTTTTTTTGTTTTTTTTTTACTGTAAAACACGCTGGTTTTTTTTGTTTTTTTTTACTGTAAAACACGCTGGTTTTTTGTTTTTTTTACTGTAAAACACGCTGGTTTTTTTTGTTTTTTTTACTGTAAAACACGCTGGTCCTAAAGTTTTTCATCTTCACATAATTCAACGAAGTGTTTCCTTGCCTTTTTTTATGCGCTTGTGCTGAAATTTGGGCTCCACACAGCATTTCATCAAACTTTATTCAGATGTTTCTGGTATTTGTACGAAATTGTCTCTTACTTGCATTAGTCAATTGAGTGCTTTGGTGACTTAACTGCTGAGTCCATCAACATATTTTCACTTTGCAATGACTTAGAAATTACATGAGTTATTTCTAATCATTTTGTTTGAAGAAAAATTAGGAAAATAAACTCAAACTTTTTTCTATTTGCTACATTAGATCAGACACTTCAACTCGCTCGTCATGCTTTTCGATAAGGAAAGCCCTTTTCTAATATGTGAATAACGGAATCTTAATACAACAGGGAATCGTGTCTAAACGACCATCTTTGAAATGTTACTTTCTCAATAACGTCGTAGACAGAAGCCAATTGTTTTTAAATAGCCCACCGTTTTATAATACAACCAGAGAAATTATAAAGATGTTCAACAATATTATAAAAGTTTTTAATTTCAGAGATATTTTGAACACAATCGTTGAGAGCAAGATTTAGATTATGGGCAGCACAATGAATATATTCAGCATTGGGTTCTCTTTTACCTATTCTTGCTTGGACTCCCGAATATGTGTGTGTGTACCTTTCATATTTGCTGCACCATCATACCCTTGACCACTACATTTATTCAAATTTAATCCATTTTCTTCAATTGAATTAACAGTTTCATTTTGTAATCCAATAGCAGTTTGATCGGAAACTTGACGAAATTCAGTAAACGATTTCTTTTGAGTTAGTACATATTTTGACCTATCGAAAGACTTGACTCATTTGATAGACTTTTGAAAGGTCTTCTGTTTTATATATAATTATTGAAAAATAAATGATGCTTTTATGTCATGAATAACTTCTCTTTCAATTTGTTTAGCAATTATAATAACTTCATCTTGTATTTTAGGACAAAGATATTTGATTTGTCCTTTTTTCTTTTCACTGTGCAAGAAGAGATCATATTTTGCTAACATTTGAGTACTAGGAAAAAAACACTATCAGGTTTATCAAAGCTCTTTCTGTGTTCTCTAAGGGGCAAGATGCATGAAGTTAATGTTACATTAATTATTTTCTTTAAACATATCTTTTATTTCTTTCTGGTCTTCATTTTCATGTTCTTCTAAGGTTTTGTTTAAACGTCATCTTTATACTGTCAGACAAGCATCAAGATGTGTTCTTGTGCATGGTGAGTCTGAGTTTTTTGGGACAGAAATCCTCTTATGTAAAAAAAATTACAGTACAAGGTTTTTACTGAAAATGTACTGGTATTTTCGAATAATTAGTTTCAGTTTGAAAAATAATGTTTAATTTTTCAATAGACATTAAAAAGTGAATATATAGTTTTGTACTTACGATGCATAAAATTGATATATTGATCCTGGCTGGGGGTCCTTGTTCATTGCACCGCCTGCACCCACGATAGTTTCGCCACTGTTTTCTACAATTGGTATAACGTTCTTTTTTGTGCGCGCAATGTTAGGTATGTTTGTAACTTCTCATAAAAAATATTACGTTTTAATGTTTTAGATTTTTCTTCTGTTACTTTTGATATTTTTGTTGTGTTGCTTCCTGATTGAATAAAATGTTTTAAAACTGTTCTCCGATCGTTCTGAACACCCTTACTGTAGAAAAATCGCGAAAAAATACTGCTTTAATCCTGTTTCTGGCTTTTCTTTTTTATCGCTCAAGTGTTGCCAGCGATGTGCAAGATTCTGATCATAATTACATTTTCTGTTACTTTGGTGCATAACGCATCACATACCATAAGTTTCCATATGCCCATGTAATTTTACCCAAGGTTATACCCATTCTCTCCGGTCGATATAATTGTCTGAGGAGTGTGAATACTGACATGATTTTTAATCGTGTTTGTGTGTGTTGGCTGCTTATAGGAAGAAACAATAAGCTAATTTACAGAGAATATAACGAAACTTTAAAATTTACCTCTGCCCTCGTGGTAGGTTACCACGAGGACTTTTGGATGCTACTATAGCGTGCGTTCTACACAGACACTATCATCATTTTTTTAGTGACTCACTAAAACAGTTTTTTGCTAAATAATTTATTGATTTAAACGATATAATAAAACATAATTGCATCAGTATGAATAACCGAACCAGATTCACTTTCGCGCTCTATAATGGGCATCAAAGTTTTTCCGTCACGCTATTGCACGTAGAAATACCGGCAATCAGATCCTTTCTCACGTAAAAATGCTACGGCGGTGTCTTCTGCCGAGATTTCTTTTCTAAAGAAATCTTTAAGCAACATTGTTAAAGAAATTTTTTTTCAGATGTCAAGATCGTAGAAGCTACAGGCAGATGTTCTTATCATGAACTCTGGTTCAATAATAATGTTTGACTTCAAGATGCCCCCTTTCACATTCGCATTCACCTCGTCCACAAGAGACCTCCCACAATTGCCGTTAATTGTAGACCAAATATCTTTGTAGATCACACGCTATAGTTGCACCGACTTTTGTTTGTACTACTTAAGGTCTGAGCTCGTTACTCTAATATATGATTGCTTATTTTCTGAATTTTTATTCTAGGTCACATCTTGTGTAAATTACGCTACGTGAATGTCACTTTTTTTGTACGTAAATCACGCATTCTGAGTATTGAAACGTCGCTTTGTCCCATTAGTCCTACTTGTATCATGAAGTAGCATACAGTATTATTTCATCCGTTATTTTACTCTGGTTTTTATTACACTGTTCATTGGTTTTCACTAAAATTTCAGCTTAAATAATTCTTATAAAAATGGTTTCTAACACACTTTAATCTGTTTTACGCTATCAGAAATAAAAAAGTAACTACTAGGTTTTTCTTTCGAACTTTTAACACAAATTTGCTTTATATTTGAACAAAATTATTTTTCTATCTTTGTGCGACATTTTTAAAGGACGAAGACACCCAGAGATCTCTGGAAATGAGACATCGTGCCGAAGAAGATGACCTCTACCGGCAGTTTGCAAAGAAACGAACAGAAGAAGAAACGAACGTTAATCAACAGATTAAAGTGAGTGAGGCTTCACTATATGACACATCTAACAATATCATTCTTATATTTAAGGGTAAAAACTGTATAGATACATCACTTTACAAAATGTGCTCTCTGAAGTTGAGGAGAATGTTGTACCTAGTTTGGGAAGTTCGTGAATTTGTTCCTTTACGTCCGTTTCTTGTATAGTAATCGTTGCGTTTTGTTTTAGCAAGAATATAAGCGATTTGTAAAAAAATTACATTAACATTTAGACATCTTTGCTAAGGCTCTGATGGTTATTAAATTGTTTCATTTATTTTACTTAGTCGCAAAAGTATAAATCTATGGATCGCCTATTAGTCGCGGCATAGCTCTTGAGTTTGTTTTTTCAAGCACAAACTTTTGGCTTGTAGCTCCGTCATTTCTCGACCGATTTGAGATCTAATTACAGTTTTGAAATCGGGAGGTCAAACCCTTTCGATTGGTATATTTTACCGTGCCCAAAGTCTCGTGGATTAATTTACTCTAATCCTGCCTAAAATAATTTAATTTGAGGGTAGGCTCGTACAGATTCTGATGAGTAATAAACATCGAATCGGGTATACGTGCGCCCCATGTTTGATATTGCTGGCGCACAAAAATATAGTTAAGAAAAATATCTTGTAGATTAACTTACTCTAATACTGCCTAAAAGAATTTCAAGTGCGCGGCTATTGGGGATTCCCTCTTGTTTTTATTTAAGTGTTTGATTTTATCTTTATTTGAAATGTAGCTCTTCCTATTGTTATAAAATAGCTTTAACACTATTGTGTAAAATTTCTTTCCATCTACCATTTTGGTAACAAAATGACTAGACAGCAAAGTAAGGACTAAAACTAGTAGTAGTAGTATATATGGTCTTTTGCTCATTTAGGAAGAGTGGGAAAAAGAATTGGAGAGGTTAACATCGAGATTCCAACATCAGATGAATATTAGGAGAAAAAAGATCACCACAGACGAAGAAAAAGTTCTCACTGTCCGACACCAGAAGGAACGAAAGAACCTAGAGAAAAATATGACTGTCAAAATGGATAAGAAAAAAGAGTCGTTGACGAGGAAACTTTTAGAGCAAGAGCGCATCGCTACTGCGGAGCTGGTGGAAAAACACAGTCAGGAGATGTTGGATTTGATCAATGAGAAACGACATGAATTAGCAAGGGTACGTACAGCTTGGCTAAGTAAATTGAATCTTGATAATAAAAAATATGCAGTATTAATCTAAATTGTGCTTTACGGTTATTAATGATTAAATACCAGTTTTTCAAATTAGAAAAAATATAATACAAGAATCGGCGAATGTGTAAGCAGTAAATATTCAACGAGTGAGTTATTTTAGTGCCAGTCAGTAAATTAAGCAGTGAATCAGTGAGTATTAATTGAATTAGTTGTGATTTCCTGTAAGTTACTCAGTTCAGTGATAAGTCAACGAGTTATCGAGTTTACTCTGTTATTCAGGTTACACGATCAATTAGCCTGGAGTTCTACAAGTAAGTTAAGCTTACATTCGTTTCGGAGTTTATGCTGAAAAGTGTAACTGAATTTAGGCCTACGAGTGAACTTAACTGTAGTAAATGTTTATTGAAAAAATTATAATACTTCATTATCGTTACGTTGAGTGGACTTGTTGCTAATTTTATCAAATAATCCCAAAGAAACCGTTGAACGATAGAATGTTACAACGGTATTCCTACGCAGTATTTCGTGCTTCACATTCATGCAATAGTACGTTATTTAACGATATCAAAACTATATGTGAATGTTGTGCGGGCATTTTTTGAATAAAATATTATTCTTCATAACTTGTCTTTTTCTGTATTTTGACATTAATTGTATCATCTCATCCTTTTTATCATTTGCCATACAGCTGGAGGGTGTGTATGATTATGATGATAAGGATGGATATGTATCTGAAGAGTTGGTTCCTTATCCGACGCACCCTCCACCCCCAATTCCACCATTAACAGATAAAGTAGAGATCTACAGCGACCCGAGAGTTTTTTCAGAATTGGACCAAGTTGCCATAAACGTAAGTATTCAAAGAACTTTGTTACATACTGAGTGACAGTACATAAATTTATCAAGCAGGTTGTAAGCTACTTAATTTTCTCGCGAATAAAGAAATCTTTAATCATTTTGAAGTAAGGCAGCACTGTGGGCAACTACAAAATAAAATAAAATGACCCAGCAAGTTTGAGCGAGTTCAAAAGTAGTCGCTTCTTTTAAAACGGTCGAGCTCTTGGGTCTTTTTATTTCTCGACACTTTATTATAATCCACTCAATGTTGGTAAAATAGCGATTGCCAACATCTTATTCAGTGAATTAAAACTCATGGGAAAGTGTTACAATAATAGAATTGGTTAAGAAATCTTAATTTACAGTGCCTTTTACTTAAACGGTATGTCATTAAGGCATCGTGAAACACTAATCTGTGATCACAATTTGGGCGATGGTCATCTGGTGGACACTAAATCCAATGTAAAAATGGCGATAATTGTAGTGTTTGGAAGTTAGTAAATTATTTTAAAACTACTTGAAGCTATCTAGGGATATTTATAGCTTACAATATTTAATTATTTTGAAGTCTTTTAGACAGGTGTTAGAAGAAAATAGCTAAAAAGAAACGAGTTTTCTGAATGTCTGTTTAAATACTGAGCTTTTGTAGAATATAAAATAAATCTCACCTAAGGTACATTTCAGTCTTTAGCGTTTTTACAACTTAGTGTAGAGAAAAAAATGTACCAAGCACAGGGATAAAAATTACTCTGTTAACAGTCTGTTCATATGAACAGATAGATCAAATATTTTTTCGAGAGAAGGTGTTACACAGCGTATGAGCTCACCGAATCTTGGACTAGACCCAGCTTATTAATCCTGAGTAAAATAAAAAAAATGTAAAGCTTCTTTCTTGGTTTTGATGTGTAATCCTTTACTCGCCACTAATAACCTAAAATACTTTAGGTGTTTGGATAACGTGTGACGTACCGTCAAAAATAATTGTTCGTTACTATTCAGCGGACTAACTGGTTATATATTTACAAATTTCTTTTCCGCACCAAAACCTAAGTTTAAGTAAAGATAAAATGACGTACAGGCCTAATCCGTTCTCTGGTTCGCTACTTCCGCTGCAGCAGACTAGTTTTTCTAAATTCACAGCTCGTGTTGTTTGGAAGAGGGAAGCAACTAAAGTAGGCCTCGTGTGATGGTGGAATATAAGCACTTCTTTTATTTGATGTATAGTTACAGGGGCTTAATAGGGTGAATATTTTCAATATGTTTAGAAGGCCATCCACACATTTCTACAGCAAGTCTTTGTTACATGTTAACTACAGTGTGAAGACGTTATCTTGGCAAGCACAAGGTAACCAGTCCGTTTCCTGCATATCTTGAACTGTTCTTTTAGCATGCTAAAGTTGCCTTCTCTGTACCATCTGGTAGATGTCCTCTTCTTCTGATATTGATCCTCAAGTCTACTTACTCATATGCTTTCTATGATCGATTAAAGCATGGAAACTATTAATTTTCATCATCACAACATCATTTAACATGGTAGACATGGCGTCTGTTTATCTGGCAGGCATTCCTGCAGATGATTATGTACTTTAATGCTGTTCTGTTGCAAGTTTGATTCGTCGTGAGGTTTAATACCTTTCAACTTGTTGTATCCACAGACGCTGTGCGATCACACGTGTGATGCTGCCGTGAAAATAATGGATTTTCTTAAGAGTCTGCAAAATTCAACCATCGTATTAAGTCTTTATTCACACCAAAACCTATCCACCCTTTTAGCTTCAGTTGAAACTTTATTTCATTACGATGATCCGCTGTGATTTCAAAGTTTCCTGTATTACCTATACTTCTAATCAGTCACGTAAGTATGCTCCCGCAGTTTATAGGTAAATAGACGAAGAGGTATTAATTTATTTTTTTTTTTATGCAAGGGGGAGGTCATCTTTTGTAGTTACGCAACTGCTTCCAATGTTAGTTTTAGTTCATGTACTTCCGAAGCCTCTGATCCTTAAGAAATTTTATGGTATCTTTCATTCTGCAGTTGATGTACAATTATTTGTGTAGCTTCGTCTCCATTTTGCTATTTTTCATATTTATTGTAGCAGTAGGGTAGAATATTAACTGGAGGTGGATTTTTTTTTATATTCATATAAAAAAGGTTAGTTATTGCATAACTTGCACCTCTTAAAATTGATCACTGTTGTAAATATTTGTCATGTAAGGTTAACATAATGTTACGACAACGGAAGTCACGTGACGCAAGTAACACGTGATGAGTATCTAGAAGATTCACGAAGAGACGAGTGTAATCTAGACGTACGCTTTTATGGTATATAAGCCGGCAAATAAAGTGACGGCAAGGATAGAATTGCAAAGACAGAGACGGACAATTGAGTCAAGCGCAGTAGTGACTGTAAGTAAAGTACGTGAATTGTTGTGAATTATAGCGTGTGTTTAAGTTAAAATGGCTGTGGAAATTAAGTGTATTGCAAAGTTGAGTTGAGAAAAAATAAACTAGTTTTATTTAAGAAAGGACTTGTATCGCTGAAGTTTCTCGGAAAGAATTTCTACGGAAATGAACAAACGAACGAACAGATACGTAACAATAACAAACTTCTTGAATAACAAGAATGTACTGATTTTCTAAAATATACGAGCACGGTGATTTATATAATGTAACATTCAAGTTTGTTTGTTTTTTTCTCTACCTTTGTGATATTATTCCACAAGAAGCAAGTTTGTGAAGACATAACATTTGTAACGTTTAATTTGAAGAAACCCAACGGCTTCTAGAGTGAAACAATGAACTTGTTCGTAATGGAATGCTCACTATGAGACTAAAATAAAATTAATATGAAAATGTTTGTTCATTGTAATAGGTGGCGCAAGAAGATCAAGTGACCTTCACAGAACTTGTTAGACTTTTAATCAGAGATTGTCGCTCAGATGTTGAGAAAGCCAGGTAACGTAATGCACATTTTAGTGTTAAATGTTAAAGAAATTATGAAAATTAAAACATGAATTCACATTTAGACAAGCACGTTTAATGCTACTTGAAACACTTGGGTTTTCCGTTTTAAGGCACTAAAAACGGATAGTAATAAATTCGGTCATTTAAATGTGGTTATATATCTTATGGAAACTTAATAATTAATTGTGTAATAGATATTTCTTAAGTTTTTTTTTTGTTTGTTTGTTTCAAATGTGATAAGTTTCGTTCCAGAGCTCTGTTTCGTTGGATCACGGTGAAAAACCTGAACAATATGACTTTTGATGACAACCTTAACGCTGATACCCCCATGGGCATCTTACGAGGAATCAAACATGGAACAGAAAGTTATCATGTGCTGTTTAAACGTCTTTGTAGGTAAGTCTGGCTCTTATAACAGTACGTACGATCTGTTAGGTGTTTATAAATGTGCTTTAGTGGAGAAGTCATCTCTACAATACTCTATTTGTATTATTATAGTGTAAACTGATGCTCTCATAACCTTACATGTAGAGTTAAAAAGTAAAACACTGCTCATATAACACGTCCTTCACATGAAATATTGCTATTTAAGGCTGTATCTAAATTAATTGTTTGTTTGTGTTTTTTTGCCTAGTAATTTTTCGACATTTTTTTACTTCATTTTGATGGATGCAATAAGTTGGTAATGTACAATAATAATAATCGAACTATGTAATATAAAGTTTTTAAAACCACTATTGGTGAAATAGATTTATTTTGGTACGACATTTCGTCTCTAACAGTGAGATGAAACGTTGTATTCAAATAAATCTACTGTCCCACAAATAACTGTTTCAAAAACATATTTTTCATAGTTAGAAACATAGTAGTAAACTACATAACGTTTATAATAAATATATATATATATATATATATATATATACATGCAAATATGTTTACTTTAATAGTTACGCAGGCTTACATTGCGTGGTCGTCAAAGGTTACTCAAAAAGTGCTGGATACCAACCTGGTGTTAAGTTTGAAGACAACCGCTTTAGGAACTCTTGGAATGCTGTCTATGTTGCTGGAGCTTGGCGCTTCGTGCAGTGTAACTGGGGTGCGCGCCATCTGGTAAACGCCAAGGAAGTACCAAAACCAGGAAACAAAAGCAAGTCTGACAATTTACGTTACGAGTATGACGACCATTATTTCTTAACTGACTCTAAAGAGTTCATTTACGAATTCTTCCCTCTTCAAGTAGAGTGGCAACTTTTGAAGAATCCTTTATCTCTACGGGATTTTGAAGAACTGCCATTTGTCCGATCTCTTTTCTTCCGTTATAGACTCTACTTTCCTGATGAGAAAAACAAAGCTGTTCTTTACACAGACAGTACTGGTGCTGCCACCATACAGATTGGTATGCCTATTAAGATGACTTCTTGCCTAATCTTCCATTACAATTTAAAAATATTCGGAAGTGATGTTGACTCTCATGAGGGTGTTAGCCTCAAACGGTTTGTGATGCAGTCAGTTGTTGATAACATCGTCTCCATAAGAGTTCATGCAGCCTGTAATAACTCATTCCTGTTGGATGTTTTTGCCAATGTCGTTACGCCACAAGAATATCTTACAGGAGAACCAATGAAATTCAAGAGCGTCGGTAAGTTCAAGATAATTTGCGAGGATCTGCAAACCGTAATGGTTCCTTTACCGGATTGCGCTAGTGGAGAATGGGGTCCAATGAAAGCCATACGGTTGTTCGGCTTGATTCCAATGACCCATAAAGATGCCTTGTTGTTCTCGTCAAGGGAATTGGAAGTCCAGTTCCGCATGTCGCGCCCTTTGGCAGATTTCATGGCAACGTTACACAAAAATGGAATTGATGAAAAAAAATTGTCTAAGTGTGTTTCTCATAGTGTCGACGATGATTTTGTCTCTTTCCATGTATCTTTTCCAGAAGATGGCCAGTATGGAATGGACATTTACACTCGTAATTTAACCAGCAACTTGCCATCTTCTGATAAACAGTTGTTAACCCATTGTTGTAAATACCTAATTAATGTGTCTAAAAGAAATTAATATCCTATTTCAACAAATATGTTTAAATACAGAGAATCGCCCGCCACGAATTTTGTCAGAGGAACAAAAATATCATAACTAAAGAAGTGTTACTGAATATTTCTAAGAACTGGATCTAGCATTGTTGATATAGTTTATTTTGAAGACAAATAACAAGTGTAACAACATTGTTAGTTCTGAAATGAACATAGAACATTGTGAATAACCAAAAATTTAGAGTTACAAACCATCCAAACAATAAGTGAAGCGGTAAAGTCATACGAGACGGGTAGACTTGGAGTAGTAATTTTTATTTTGTAACGTATAAACTTAAGAATGGTTTCATAGTAATCTATGTGATACGTTATATACAAGGCCAAAGAAAGAATAATACCTGTACTCCAAACTACCACCCAAAAACAGATATTTAAGAGCACCTGAAGACTTTCCTTACACGACTGCGTAAGTGCTGGGAAGATGAATCGTATTTTTTATAGTATGATACCAAAACAGAAAAACGAGTAAATCTTCACATCTGATTAAAATTTTTTTAGCAATTCATTTCTTTCATAAATGTTTTTATTTTGGTATAACAAATATATATTATAACTTATTGTTTTGTGTATTTGTAATGTGCTGCTTTTCGCATTTTTTTAAACTTAAATCTTAGGAAAAAAATGTTGTACAATACAATAAATTTATTATTTAAACCTATTAAAAAGCGCATCTCTAAAATGAATAAAATAAATAAATGCATTTCATTCCTTCAGTGTCATTGTTTTGTGTGGTTAGTTTTAAATAAATGACAAATTTGGCAAGTGTTTTCTCCACATAATAAGCTTTTGGTTAATAGTAATTTAAAAAACTTTGTGAAAAGCTTGTTAAATCTGTCATTTATTCATATACATTTTCATATTTTTACCAAACTCTTCGAGATTGTAACAAAGTAAATTACTGAAAGGTTGACAGATTTTAGAAAAAGGTTGGAAAAAGGTTCGTTTCAATATTGCTGTTTCAGATTTTTAAAAAAATATATAATTATGAAAGACTGTTTTCCTATTTACATAACATAACATAACTATTTTACCAGCTTTTCACTTGGTATGCTGTTTTAAAATATTTTGGATATGTGGGAACAAGTGAAAAAATGCGAACGTATAATACAACTTTGGTTGTCTTAGCATTAAAAAGTATTAAACTATTCCATTACGTAACAACTAGTCTTTCAGAGTTGATATTTCATATTTTAATAAAGTAATAATTTTTATTATTTTTTAATATAATCTAATTTTAGTACATTGTACTTAAACATTGTTTTTTTTTTTTTTAAATCTAATATTTGTACCTGTCCATCAAATGTTTGTACTTGGATTTCTCGTGAAAAAAAATGAGTGCGAGTTGCCAGCTGTGTGTATTTGTGTCCACAATTTTCAGGTTTGGGTCTTTTTTCGTATGTAGCATTAGGAATTTAAATAAAGATTGTTTTGAAATTATCTATATTTATGTTTGTATGAAATATAACTTCTTTCGTAACAAACACTAGGTAAGACTGTTTACATGTATCACGCTCGACCTTTACTGAATTTCTGTTCGTAATTCGGTAAATAATAACAACGTCAGACTGCAAATGTTTCTAACTGTTCATTTGATTGACATATTACGAATTTCAGTATATTTCTTCTTCAGCTGTTTTAATACTGTAACACAGTTATTTCGTACTTCATGTCCATCCCAGAGTGACCAGTTAGTTCTAATATTAAGTGAAAAGACCTTCTAAGCAATAACTTGGAGATTGATTAAAAAAGAAACAAAAAATGAAATGCCATTTTTAAACTTGTAATTTGAAATGTGTAACGGAAAAATGTAAGAGATTTGGGGTGGGGTGGATATGCAGCCTAACGTGATTTTTATCATGTATATTAGGCCACAACTATGTTATTCTTAAGTAGGGACACAACTATTGTTTCTCTTTTAGGAATGATTTAAGAGACAAAAGTTTTCATTATGCATGGGGAAGTAGCCTGTATTTTTTGCATATTTGAGGGTTTTATTTCAAGATGACCTTTGGTGTACGAAAGCTAGGTATTCTTAAAACTGCCACACTTTCTATATTTGTAGATAAGGTATACTGCGCTTTCCAAACTTGAATGTCCTGAGCCACATCAGTCGCCAAATAAAATCCTCTTACCCGTCCCCTCCTCCTGTAAGGTAAAAATTCTGAAAGAAAAATCCCTGATTAGAGATGACTTGGGCTCCTGATAATGTAACAAAGTTTAGCATTATGTAAATACAAGATATCGGTACTGAAATACTGACAGCAAACCGAAAAAACGGCGAAATGAAAAGATCCTAACAATTTATTTTTTACTATATCCCAAACAAACCATTTTTATAACTTAATTCGTTACTATATAATAATACATTTATAATGGAAAAATCGCAATGCAATCTTGACCAATAATGAGTATTTTATATTGATTACATACTGCTAACAAACTGTTCTCAAAAGAGGTAATGAATGGCACATAATAAAAGTAAAGGGTACTTGATGAACTTTGTTCTAATTATTTATGTCTTAGAGTGGGTTTTTTAAAATTATTATTCAGTAAACATAATGCAAATTCCAGTCCTCATAATGAAAAATAGTTTTATTTCTTACTGAAAGTTTTAACAGTTTCGCAGTTCTACGAATAAACTAATCAAGCGGTAGGCCTAACTCAACTATAAAACAAGTCACTTGTTAAATTTCCTCTCGTAACTAATACACAAACTCAAACATGTACTTTACTGAACTGACTGACTTACTAACTCTCTGAATTATTCTTATTAATTGTAAATTGTCGCCAATTGTCTCAAATTCGAGACGTCACGTCAAACTAGGTACTCTGAAAATTTCTAGGTGTCGCATCATCAACATTACGTTATGCCTAGGGTTACCATGCGTCCCGGTTTAGCAACTTTGTCCCGGAGTCCCAGCCGGTTTGAAATTCTGTCCCGGTTCTAATCACAGTTTACTAAAAATTAATTTGTCCTGTCTGAAAATGTAAGATTATCTCGTATACATTAATATCAGAACTTTTGTGGTCATCAGATAGCATATTTAATGTAACTAAGCTAAAATTATACTTGTAAAGACTGGCAAGTTCTAAGCTTTGCATTACGCCACGTGCATTTGTTTATATTTGAGTCAACACAAATGGTAATTGCGCCTGCCCGTGCATACCGGCTCTGCTGTCAACCAATAGCGATGTCCAATCCATATACACTGAGTGGTCACAAGTAAATAGACACCTAATTTTTCGTCATTTAACTGATTTATGCCAACTAATTTGTGTTCCCCGAGGACTATATAAATGAAAATGGTCCGCACACTAATTATCTTGTGCTACAACATACC